ACACACACACACACACACACACACACACACACACACACACACACACACCATGTAACACCACGGGGGCTTTCCCCTGGTCGGTGCTCACCCACAGGCCCTGTCTGTTTAGTTCTTGCGCAGTTTGTCTCTCATCTTACAGCTCAGATTGGCCTCAACTGCAGAACCCACGCTATGAAACATTCTATCAGATAGTCCACTTTCTTCAATAAATCACTTCTAAAAAACGAGAAGTAAATATAGAACATATAGAAAATGTATGCATGCTTACCCATTAAAATAAAATGGGGAGGTCTGCGTGATGTATGGGTCAGGAAAGGGCTTGCCTTACAAAGACGAGGATCTGAGTTTGAACCCCTGCACCCAGATGAGAGGCAGGCACAGTGGGAGTGTGCTTGTAACCCCAGTCCTAGGGAGGCCAAGGCAGGTTAATCTCTAGGGCACACTTGCCCAAGTCTGCCTGATTGGTGAACTCTAGGCCAATGAGAGATCCCACCTCAAAGGAGGTAGACAGTGTTCCTGAGGATGGACACCTGAAGCTGACCTCTGGCCTCCACATGTACTTCATGCATGGACACAGCACACACACATGCAAACATACTAAAAACAAATACAAGTAAAAACAAGCTTTTGGGACATGGTCCTGCTGTGTTACCCAGGCTGGTCCTGAATTCCTGAGCTCAAGTCATTCTCCTGCCTCTGCCTCCTGTACTTGGACCATCGGTGTGCACTCTGGCATCCACCTAGAGACTTTTTAAACAAGATTAAGAAACAGTGACCAAACACTGTGGAAACCTGATATGCAGCCTGCTTCAAATAAATCATGTTTAAAATGCCAGTTATGACACAAGTGAAAATCTGAGCTCACTGGGGTTTGTGTAGCCTGAGTTTATATTGAATTCAATGTGGCAGTCTTCTGGAGCCCAGGCTAGCCTCAACCCCCTTTTTAGCTCAGGAGGACTTTGAACTTCTGTTCCTCCTGCCTCCACTAACCAAGTGTTAAAATGGCAGGCGTGGACCATCACACCAGGTTTATAGTGAGTTGGAGATCTAACCCAGGGCTTTGTACACACTAGGCAAGCACTCTGTCATGTGACCCACACCCAGCCCACTGCCTTTAATTTTCAAAACTTTTTTAGCTGGGTGGTGGTGGTGGTGGTGGCACACTCCTTTAATCCCAGCACTTTGGAGGCAGAGGAAGGCAGATCTCTGAGTTCCAGCTCATCGAGGGCTACACAGAGAAACTCTGTCTTGCAAAAAAAACAAAACACACAAAACAAAACAAAACAAAACAAAACAAAAAACCCAATCATTTCATCATTTTTCTTTCTTTTCCCTTTCCTTCCCTTCCCTTCCCCTCCCTCCCTTTCCTTCCTTCCTTTTTTCTTTCCTTCCTTCCTTCCTTCCTTTTTTTTTTTTTTGGGTGTGTGTGTGTGTGTGTGTGTGTGTGTGTGTGTATGCATATATGTGTGCTTGCCTGTGCATTTGTGTGTGGACGCCAGGGATTGCTATCAGCTGTCTTCCTCTATCACACTTCCTCAT